CCACTTTTTTTCCACCAGCTCCCCTCCGATGAAGAGGCTGAACCATCTAATAAGATCTGAACTCGACTCTCACTCGAGAGACACATTCAGTGGCACCTCATGATCTCGTCCTTCAGTGCTCCGTTGACCAGTCGATGCTGTTTGATCCGAGACAGACCTGCACTATGAGAGCCATCATCAATGGAAGAGATCAGCCGACGCAGACTGATCACAGCAGTAAATAAAATGAACTTCAGGGAGAGATACCAGTAAATATGCAACAAGAGGCCGAATCGAAGAAGAGTAGCGAAATGAAGATACTCCTTAGCAAGGAATCGACAACTTCGACTGTCTTCTTGTGTTTACGGAGACACTTGAGATACGGAATTTGCATCCTACGCGCCAGAGCGGTCAGGCTTCTTATCCTGGATCTGCTTACATTGGTTGAAATGGTCGAGTGAAAAACTGCCTTTGTCAGGAGGCCGCCTCTTGGACATCAACGGCTCCAGGTGTCTCGACATACTGAAGGACTTTCAATTCATGATTCATGGGGAACACTCGGAGAAGATCGTACGCTACGATTACGCAGACCTGGATACAGGTTCCTGATCGGTTTGCTGATCCACGGAGCGACACATTCCGACCAACTGACTAACTCAACTCATCGCCGCCAACCAGAAGAGTCTCCATAATGGTCATGTTCAACCACGAGGTAGGATGATACGAGACACCCCGACCGACCCCTTGGAAGATATGGCTGGCAGAACCTTGGAAAATTTCGTATACAACTAACGTCAGTGTGTAGGTGATGAAGAATCATCACGGTGTCAGAGAAAACCAACACGGTGTTTACTACACACCTTTGCTCTCTTATCCATGCGCTGTAATCTTTTCCTCAAAGGGCTCATACTGGGGACCTTGCCCGAACCTCCAGTTGGCACGAATCCGGATAGCCACTCGCCGTGATCCCTACCAGATGGCGCCGTTGAAGCCCTCTGTCCAGGAATCTAAATGATACCACTCATAAGATGTCGCGTGTGGTCGCAGTGACAGCTCACACCGTTTGATACATCGCCCTTCATTGAGACCTGACGCTCTGCATGGGAAAATTGAGTATTTGTTATTAGTTTATCCGCACCGTCCTTCCTTCCCAGCACATTCTCGAAGACCTAACCGACCCTTCAGGCGAAATTTGAATAATCTGAGCTACCTCAATCCAGGACTCCCTTTCTTCGCTCAAGTGCTCGAGCTGGAGCTCAATATGCTCTTGAGATATTCGCAACGTACGAAGCATCTGCTTCCGACGGCAGATGAAAATGCCAATATAAAATGACAGATAATTGTACACTAGTATCAGCCTTGTGCGACACGGCTTCTAGTAATGATCGTGCTTGCCCGTTACACCGAACTTCCCATGTTTTTCCCACACGTACTGCCTGCAAAGTTGAGATATCACCAAGCGACTGGCGACAAAGGCAACCATGTTCTTGGCACAGTCCTGCCACTGTAGAAGGTCAATATGTACGTCGTCCTCGACTTGGTCAGGGCTGGCTGCAAGCCCAGGGAAAACCCCGACAACCTGATATGTCGATCGGCATCAGGGACCGCAGAATGCTAGCGATTCTCCTACTTGAGCTAAACGAGCTACCCCCTGGGTGAGATTGCATACGATGCCCTCGAGAGAGGAGAGCTGCTCCTCCAGGCTCTGTAATCTATCAAGCTCTGGAAGGGACGGCTTCATCGACAAGGACGAGACACACTCCTGATGAGATTCGGTACAGCAGGATGGTCAATAAAGTTTATAGTACTTCAGCTAGCGCATCGTAGACGCTTCGGAGAGCATTGCCTGCGTACAGCCGATCTGAATAACGATCAACGGTGAAAGTTTTCACAGCACGAAGACAACTCCTCATACACCGAAAAGATGCGAAAAACGCTGATAGAACTGATATGATTTTAGTTAACCGCTCAGCAATACCCACACCCCAGTCCCATAGGGGATGGATCATCGAAGTCGAGTACATGACTGTACTGACTACACCTCCATTAGGGTGGGGTATACATCTCCTCATCACGGTTTGGGGTTTTGTCAAGAGTACTCTTGTGAACGAAAGGAAATCACTACATAAGTGATCCTGTTCGAGTACAGTCGACAAGCCCTACATGCCTGGAGACGCCCTTATGTGACGCGATGTGGAAGAAGCGTGGTATGAAATGTGAGCACAATTATTTTGCACGCATGCACATTGCCAAGGCGCGCACGAAGTTGCTGTTTGCGTTGATACCTCATCATGTTCATACAACTACATGGGGGAATCTCACTCCTCGAATGAACTCCCCAGTCACCTCTATTTTGGTTCTCATTGCTTCTGATCTCTTCATTTGCCAACTGAATCCCCTCTCTTCCTTCTAGAGAACATCATCGGTGATGAGTTTGGAGGAGTCATAGCTCACCGTGTGCCTCCCTCCTCTCCAACAGTCTACCTTCCCCCATCTGCCCTGTAAGTTCACAGTTGAGGGTCCTACGAGGTCCCCAATCTCCCCACCAGTATCCACTAGCCCACCTCCCCTCCGATGCATCGCTGGCCACTCTCTTCAACACCGAGTGATCACCAGCCGCCATCCGCCGCCCCGATGCTTGAGTGGCCACCAGTGCGGTCCCATCTAAGTAGCAAGCGTGATCTGAATTTTATGTAGCATATGTGTTTGGCTACCCAGTGCACTCCGGCATCCATCGAGTTCAGCATGTAGCTTTGCAATATCTCTGCCATTCTGTTGACAGGCGTATTATCGCACAAAACCAGCTACCCCTACCTCCTCAATGGCAGCCGCAAGGTCCTCCATGCACAGCTCACTCCTCAATTTGAATGCATCGAACTCGTTCCTCATAAACTTTGAGCTCTCATAAAATGGTAAGAGTGTGTCACTTCTTAGGCCTACATTAGCGTCCCCTCCACTGATGACCTCTTCCTTGGTATCCTCGTTAATGGGAAAAGGAGTCGAGGCCGGGGTACTCTGAGAGGCATCCTATTGACACCATCCTTCTCGAGCATTCCCTCGATACCATCCGATTGTCGTGAGATGTGGACATCATATCAGCTACCGCCTCCTCGAGGATTGACAAGCGTTCATGGAGAGTTTCACTACTGTATGGCAAGGGCGCAGGTTCGATCCCCTGCACCGCCACATGCATTATGAAGCCTTTTTTTCCATCTCACCTCAGCAAAGTTGTGTTGATGATGTGCCATAACATGAGCTGTATCATTACCGACATACTCCTCAACCTACCACATCGATGGCATACTCCTCTATCGCTCATCATTCACCTCCCTCAGGTCTCCATTGAGATGATGCCTGGATACATCACTCAAGGGGAGAGATGATAACTGAGCAACGCCCCGTGTCGTTGTATTGTATTGCCACTGTAACCTTCTTCTCGGCTTTCTCGAATAATACCCTATCTTTTTCTGTTGTTACAACATGACGTATGAGTTGTTGATGCAGCTGCAGGATACTCCTAACTAGGGACATATCCTCACAGCAGCACTTCGGTAGGAGGGGATTGGACATCATCCCAGACACAAAGGAGAGTATATCAGCGATGATCCTCTATTTCGTCACTATAATGACAAACGCAAGTAGAAGGCATCCACATCTCAACCGCATCTGATAGCTTTGATGGGATTCCCCCCAGCAGTAGAGAATTACGACCCTAGCCGATTCATCAAGTGCCTGCCCTTCGAGAGGATTTATTATTACACTCAGCATGCTACCCAATAACGTGTAGTAGAAGCCTTATTAGACGATCGTAAGGGGTGGATACTCTTATCCATGTCGAACCTTTCATGGCGTTACAATGGCAACACCCCTCACTGACGACTATAACACTACTGTTGAGTAATAGAAAAATGAATACAATATCCAACTCTACAGTGCTCCTCAATTTATCGCTGGCATACGACTCTCCTATTCAAAGTCTAATTCCCATCACCAGCATCGGATGTCTGCTCCTCGCCAGAGACGCCCTCACTGGCAGCAGCCGCAGCAGCCACGGCCTTCTCCTTCTCTATGTCCTGCAACATCTCAGCAGCCTCCTTACACCTAATGAGGAGTGATACCGGTGATAGGACGTCTAATGCGCCTATCCTAACATGACTCTCAGGTATCTCACCAATACACTATTTCACACGACGACAGTCATCACCCCATACACAATAGAATGTTAAGAACAGTGCAAGCAGTAGGGCTAGTACCAAGATGCATTATCGCGGAGTATCTTTTCCTCCTCCTCAGCCGTAAAGCCATCCTCACCAACACCAAGCTCTTGTCGTAGTTCCTCAACCGTCTTGGACTTGATAGAGGAAGCTACCTGAAAAATTAGCAGCCTACTCCTTGAGCCAACCAAGCACGAACGATTGAGCCCTCGAAGCCTCCTCAAGGTACGGCCGGGTGTAGTGAGGTTACTCTGTCGCTAGGCATTATTACCGATGCACAGCATAACTCCAGTAGTGGTTTTATATCCATAAAGTTGGCCGCTAGCATCACATCGAATAACTCCTTCTGAAAATGATTGTGAATGTAGAGGCGTAGTAGAGGTAGTAGCACCTCTGGTAAGTCCACAAACTTATCATCCCATTCGGACACTCCGTTGTCACGAAGACGACCGCCCATCTTCAATGGCTTATTGATAACACCTGAATGGGGAGAGTTAAACATGAGTTGCGGTTGGTGTGGTATTACTAACAGGATTATCAACATGATATTCACACCATTGAACGACCTTGCTTAGTATCTTGGACGTAACATTAGGTAGAGGTATCTCCTACCCAAGGAGGCATTCCCATCATCATAACTGTTGTTGTCACTACCTCCTCATTGATGCTACCACTAGCATCATCAACCATGTTGTTGACCAGGATACTAAAGCATGCAGCCTTCAGAGGGATAGGGACGACCACACCATCAGAGGTACGGACATTAACGATAGCAGCAGCAGCCTTCTCCGACATGGTCACAAAGAGGCCTATAAGATCTGGTCGGAGTGGCCTGATGACAACGAAGATCAAAAAATCTTGGCACCTTACTCTCTCTCGAGCTTTCTCAGTATGTATCTGCTCACTATGTAGAGTAGTAACTGAACCCAAACGCGTGTGAGTTTGTCCCTGGCAGGTGTTTGTAGGCGTCACATCGAGGAGTTATCATAAACAAGCTCAGTCCAGCACCCCCATGCCTTCCCATGACGACCATCATTAGCATCATCGGCCAGACACCGAGGATCCTGCTAAGCAAGTGAAGAACACTTTAGAGGAGTTGAGTGCATCGCTAGATGTAGGCATACTGCTACTGCTACTACTACCGGCCCTTGGGACTGTACAGTGTTGGGTAGGTTGACAATACAGTACAGGAGATGGCCGATATTACACCTACTCCTGAGCAACAGATTAAGATCCTTATTGATCGTATAGGGGCTAGCTGTGATATTAAGAAAGAACAGAGGCAGGCACATTATGAGGTGGGCTTCCTATGCTTATCTATGGCATGCCTTTTATTGTAGGCATTTGGGAAGCTCTTTAGTGGCGACAGGAGAGGTAGTAGTTGGGAGGTTACAGCCCTAGAGAAGGCCTTAGATGACTTTGCTGACCCTGAGTGAGTCCACTGTGGTCATCACTGTATGGGGCAAAGGATGGGTTACTGTTAGGATCATCGAAGACATGAAATTGGACATACCAAATATCGTTGACATCTTCGTGATGGAATTGGTCAAGACCTTACATTGTAAGGCTTACAAGATGCTGGTGTCTTTGATGATGATGACAAGGTGGCTTTATATGCCAACAGGCTTAACGCTAATCTTTAAAATGTAGTATATTCGTACCACACGTCGGCCACATCATATTAGTACTACTCAGGTACATTCTTTTACCATAAGGAGGTGGCTATGGGGTAGTGTCCCCCCTCGTCCTTCGCTTATGTTACTACTATAATGATTACTGTTGATGCCTCTGTAGCCGTATGTTTATTCATGGACTTGTGATAGTAATACTCGAGGTGATAACATTGAAGATGATGATGCCAATGACAACAACATCATCATCAACAACTGTTTCTATCTCAACCGTTTTTAATTGTTTATGAGGCTTTGCGTTCGCACCGCGATAGGGAGGTGGCTGCTCTATGAGGCATAGTTCACTAAGGAGGCGGATTATGACTCTGTCAAGTTATGTGGTAATTTACGAGGGGTTTTCAAAGATGGAAGTTCAAATTCGTAAACGAAGTTTGTGAACTCGGGAAGAAGAGTTCAAACCCACAACCAAACATGAGGTCAAGTTCGACGAAGGAAAACAGTAAGCTATAGATTGAACTGTAAGCATGTCGATTCTCTGGAGAACATTGGTGACCGCTCGCACATTTTAAAGTCGATCTCTTTATATGCCCGGGGCTTAGTCTTGGGGCAACAGTCCTCATACATGTCGTTGCAGCGATGGAGTACATTGGGCACAAGATTGTCCTGCCCAGTGCGGGTATAGAAATACCGTCACCGGGGATCGAACCCGAAACCACATCATGTCCGCTGCGCTCGCCATCGTAACCGATCAGGCTCTACTCATACTAGTAGAAGAGACCTTAATGATCCATAGTGTTCCTTGTTGTTGTCGTTTGCCCTCGATGTCATCTGATAACGCCTCTAGCCAGTTGAAGGACTGCGACCCTCGGCCTCACTTGAACTTGGTCTTCATCGGTCATGTCGATGCCGGCAAGTCGACTACCTGTGGGAATATTATGTATTTATCTGGTAGTAAAGGGGGAGGGGGTGACAGCATAAGGAAGAGGACTTCACTCGTGGGTGGTGGTAGGGTTGGTGGATAATCGGACCATTGAGAAGTTCGAGAGGGAGGCTAAGGACAAGAATCGTGAGTCATGGTTTTTGGCCTATATCATGGACACCAACGAGGAGGAGAGGGCCAAAGGCATCACCGTCGAGGTAGAGGGGAGGTAGTGGTGGTGTTGGTGACAAGCCTGCTATTAGGTTGGTCGGGCCCACTTCGAAACACCTAATAGACGATTTACCATCTTGGATGCTCCCGGTCATAAGAACTATGTACCGAATATGATCTCTGGCGCGGCCCAGGCCGATATCGGCGTGTTGATGATCTCCGCTCGAAAGGGTAATTGGCATTATTTGTCTAAGACTCATGCATACTACCATTGTCAGGCGAATTTGAGACTGGCTTCGACAAGGGTGGTCAGACTCGTGAGCATGCTATGCTTGCCAAGACCTTAGGTGTGAATAAACTGATCATCACTGTGAATAAAATGGACGATCCGACTGTGAATTGGTAGTAGTACTATGTTGTTGGGCTGAAGGCAGCTGACTTTGGTAATGGACAGGTCTAAGGAGAGATACGACCAAATAGTTGAGAAGTTGACTCCCTTCTTGAAGGGCTGTGGCTTTAATGTAAAGAGCGAGGATGACGTCTTCTTCCTCCCCATCTCTGGTCTCAAAGGTCAGACTACTACCTTATCGTTATTGGTAAACAATACTATCATATCAGGTGATAATTTAAAGGAAGGCCCCAAGTCGCCCGGCTCTGATTGGTATAAGGGCCCGACACTATTCCAAGTATTGGATAATGCCAACCCACCCTACAGGTAGTCACGGGTATCGGTGATGGGTTGAGGAGGGGCCTCCTGTTAGGGATCCTGAGGCACCTCTACGTATACCTATTGTCGATGGGTATAGGGATATGGGCACTATTGCTATGGGGAAGATAGAGCAGGGGAAGGCACAGCCAGGTAGGAGGAAGGTAGCTAATGGTGTCGGTAATAAGGAGATGCACATCAGGTCAGCAGTGCATGTTGCTGCCTAATAAGACTGTTACTGAGATACAGTCAGTTTACATCGAGGATGATGAATATAAATACGCCAATCCTGGTAATAGCCTCTACTACAATATTAGATGATAGAGTGGGAGCAGGTGAGGATATCAAACTGAAGTTGAAGAATGTCGACGAAGACCAAGTCCAGAAGGGTGGGGACCAGGAGGCACCTAGGGTATCATCAGTGATTTGGCTTCCTCCTTAGGGTTCGTGCTCTCTGCCATTGATCACCCTTGCCCAGTCGTACAGAAGTTCCAGGCCCAGCTTGTCATCACGGACCTCCTCGAACACAAGTAGGTGACCTTCCTCACCCTCGTTATTCACTACCACCTTATAGGCCTATTATCACTATTGGTTATACGGCTGTTCTGCATGTCCACACTGCTATCGAGGAGTGCACTATTACTAAACTCATAGAGGTGATAATAATATCAATAGTGTACCGCCAGGATTGTATCACATTTCAGTGTGTTGATAAGCAAAAGAAGACCAAACAGAAGAGGCCGAGATTCGCTAAGACCGGCCAGATGTTGCTATGTGAGTTCCTTCACTATCACCTCCATTATCAAATACCTCTTTTAGGCGTCATCGAGACCACCAACAGGATATGTGTTGATACTTTCAAGAGGACTCCACAGCTTGGTCGATTTACGTTGAGAGATGAGGGTAAGTGAACAGCACCTTTTCGTTGTGTAATTTGATGTTTATGAGGTAAAACCATCGCCATTGGAAAGATAGTGGAATTGCCTAAATCTGTCACGGAGGGGATCGCCTAAAATAGTGACAGTAGTTAATCAATTCTTCACTGATACACTAGCTTTGTGTTGATAGTCAAAAATAATCTTCCTAAGCACGATACCAAATTCATCCCAGAGACACGTTATTAACTTCAATCAACACAAGTAGCAATAATAAAATAGATACTCGCTTTTTCGTCTCATAAATGTCTCATACCAATACGAAACGCTTTATCATGCCATTGTTAACATAACAATAAGTAGTGCAGCATAATCGTCCTTGGTAAAAACATAATAGCGATTATTATTAGTATTATCCACCATAACAAAACTCACTCCTACGATTCTATTTATGATGATAATATCCAGTTAGAGCACAGGGGTAGCATAAATGAGCATGGCTCGGGTATAGTGGTGAAATCTAAACTAATACAAAGTTTCACCGACTTTGTCAAAGACTAGTAATATGACATGTTAGAGTTCTAACTACTTACTCGCTCCGAATTGGCACAAAAAAATACCTCTAAACAATCAAGAGGGGCACTGGAAATAGTTTGTACTAAGTATTTACGACGATAATGGTGGACTGCTATGATAATGAGAAAAATGATGTTGATGTAGATTGATCCTAATAGACCGTTATACCTGTTACTGCTGGGCACAACCAGGGTCGGTAGTGATGCGCTGTTCGCTGGTAGTGTAAGTATCATCTGGCACCCAAGGTTGGTAAAGATCCTCAGATGCATTACTATTATCATCATCAACCATGTCCTTAGCATACAGATAATAACAACCACCACTAGTGTATGCAGATGCCCTTGGCAAACCATAACGCTTCTGCTCTTCCTCTCCAACATTACGTAGACAGTCCAGATTGAGTTCATCAGTGTAGCGACTATTGTCGCCCAATAGGGACTCGAAACCACCATTGACCTCTTCAATAGCCCCACCAGGTGCCGACGAGAATAATGTTGGACTACTACCAATACTAGTGGGTACCGACGTAATGGTAGTGGGGGAAGCCGTACGTACATTCCCAGTGGTCGAACAGTCGACGGCGACCCTACGAGTGTAGCACTCGTGAACATCAGTATTGCCGTTATTAAGTATACCATTGTTGTTGGAAGCATCGATCATGGACAAATAGGACCTACGAGGTACCTGTTCATAGTGCTTGACTCGGGCACTTGAACCCAAATGCCTCAACAGACCACCAGCCGAGAGGTTACCCTGAAGAGCCGAGTTACTGGCATCAACAGCGGCCACAGCAGAGGAGGAACTCTCGAAGCTGCAAAAGCCAAAGCATCGACTCTTGCCGGTGCTACGACACCTCTTCACCTCACAGTCGATCACTGGGCCGAATTGTCGAGACATAAGAGCCTTTAAATCAGCTGTGTTGATAGCAGGCGATAGGCCTCCAACGAATACTGTGTTCTCTGGAGGAGGGTCCACGTAGTTGGTCATGTTGGTAACCATATGGATGGGGGAGTCCTGAGGGACATCCGCTTTACGACCAGTGTCGGTACCATCAGTGACAACCGTACTGCAGTGACTAGAAGCTCTGAATCTACCATCAGTGATATACCCATCTGGCTGACCATCATGACCAGGAGAGTCGTCAAAGCTAAAGTGTTTGACCTGGGTTGTTGCCCAAGTAACACAACTGGTCTTACTCGATCTAGTCGTGTTCCTCGGCCATTGATAACCATTAAAAATAGTCATAAACCTGTCGGCTACCGGCCTCGAGGTCAAGTTAATAAAAGCATAGCCACGGTTGCACTTATTGTAGTCGTCCCAAGGAAGGTAGACACTATGGTACTCTCGATTGTTACCGTACTCAAACCCATGCTCATTCATCACTTGAACAAGCATCTCGTAAGTATAACGATTGGGTATGTTACGCCACATGACCGAGGTAAGCTCTTCCGGTGGGCATCCAGGAGGCATGGAGGTCTCGATCTGTTTACGCAATGCTGAGCAATCTTCCCTCAAGTGAGGACGATGAGGAGGAGGAGAAGAGGGAGAAGTAGTAGTAGTAGTAGTAGTAGTAGTAGTAGGAGGGAATTCTAGTAGTCCGTCAGATGACATGATGATGCTTTTCAACTGAAATACTGTAGAGGAAGAGAATCTTGTGCGTCGATGAAGATGCGCTGGCGAGCGAGACCGGAATACTGCTTGAAATGTCCCTCCCGGGTATCGAACCCGGGACCTCTCCAAACGTGACAACAAAATATGACGTGTGTAGCGTCTTGGGGCTCAAGTATGGTTCTTCCCAGTGACAACTCAGGAATCCTGAGTCAGGATCATTTGAGGGTTCGGAGTCATTCATTAGGAAATGAGGGTGATAATATCTGATACCGATGTCATATGAATCAATAAGTTTGACCGAAAAGAATAATGGGCAATCCGTGAGGCTTCCAAAGCACAAGCAATGATCAATGGGGCACGCACACACGTAGTCTGATCGATTGTGTTCGGGCGACGACGACCTAAGTAGTCGCACGCACGCGAGAGCAGCCTCAGCACAGAGACCTTCCTAAGAGTGGAACGCTGTAGACGTCCCCCAAGGTCGAGTGCTGAAGAGCTGCAAAAAGAAAAAAGATTACGCCTCAAGGTATCCTGCCTCAACCATAGCAGCGCGTGAGGTGTCCTTGAGCATGTTCGTCGGAGTCAGATTGATACGCATGAGTACCGAAGACACCGTACGCAGGAGCGGACTGTCCCGCTGAGCGTTTTCCGGAGTGTCACCAGTGTAAGTGGAACCGTCATGAGATAACCACACCGGGAAAAATTTATTGCCTTCATGCGAGTCGTAGATCTGGACCACTAGTGAGCCATGAGCGATACTATCGTCATTGTCGGTTTCGGCCATGACCTTTCCGATAGCATCAGCACCACACGACAGCCTGGCAAGAATAACCTGACCAGGTTTTATCGAAGTGAAGGGGATCTCGGTTTCAACGGCCATAGTTGGACGGTCTCTATCCACAAAGGCATGCCTGGATTCCAGATGACAAGCAGAAACGCTGACAGAGTGACCAGGTGGGCTTCCTAGTGGGTGTAACCTAGTCACGAAACCAGCCAACGATCCAAGGTAGCAGAAGGGACCATCTTCAGTATGGACGCCACTGACCAATCTGACCGTTCCTTCAACGGGTCGAGACTCAAGACGGCGCCACACCACGAGCTCACCATCTTTCAGTGGACGACCTGGCCGAGCCGCAGAGGCTCGAAGGCAGTCCCGAACGTGGGCTTGAAGAGTGGAGATTCGAGCCGCGCCCACCGAGCTCTTGAGAACTTCCCTGAGGGCCTCTGGTACCTCAGCAGATGTAGCTAATGTTTCAAGATCTCCGATGTGGACGATGGGCGTATTGTTTGTGATGGCAGATAGGACCGATGCGGAAGGAGTACGAATTCGCGTGCCAAACATGAGCTCCGCCGCCGAATGGCCAGAGACTCGCTTTTGGGAGTTGATCGACAGCTGGACAAAAGGTAAGGCTTGATCCCATGGCAGTTTGGTTGTCGGGAGGACGCGTCTGACACGTCCGACCCTTTCCTCAGCACTGCCATTCGAAAATGGTGAGTATGCCGGGACCGTGTTGAAGCGCACACCACAGGACAGGAGCGGCGTGCGCAGTGACGGCGAGTCGATGAAGTTGTCCCCGGTAACACTAAGGGGTACACCAAAGATACTCACCCACGAGCCATACAGCAGTTTAGCCGTCGTACTTCCTCTGGCATCTTCCGCACCGCACAGAAGTGTATACCCTGTGGCCAAGTCCGTGATGACAAGGAATGCCTTGAGGGATGGGTTCGCGGGAGATATCCATGTAGGGTTTGGGTAACCATGGTCAATAGCAATATGCTTCCCACGAGCATTCAGATCTATTAGTCCCCACGGAAGGCGTGGTGCGGTGACCAGTTTCATACGCTTGGTAGGCTTCTGCTCCATGCAATGATCACATCGCTCAACCCAGGACCTAGCATCGCGAAGGAGGGAGGGCCACCAAACGAAAGGGACAAGGCTATCCCGCATGTCCCTGTGAGGTCTATGATAATCCATTTCATGGGCAACAAAAAGGAGCCAATCTCGCAGCTTCCAGTCTGTGTCGACATTAGTGCCGATCATGCCATTCAAACCGGTAACTACGCCTCCTGGAATGACTGGAACCGATATCGGTCCAGTCAACGCAGCTTCAGAGATAGTCATGACCACCCCTCCAACATGGGTGACAAGGCCGAGAGCTTTAGCCTCCGCGGCTAATTTCTGAAGTTTCCCAGCTCCGTCAAAGTGATGTTGCCATGCCTGTAGCGTAGCACCATGGAGGAGGGTAGAGGAGTCTGCCTTCTGAAGAGTTATCAACTGAACTCTCAGGTCACCCGCCAGAATGCATCTGGTAGAGTCGTGGACAGAGGCAGAACGATCCGTGGTAGGTAGTTCACTTTGGGAGGGTGATGTCGAGGTCACCAAGACAAACGCTTCGCCACCACCCTCAGGGACATACCGCTGTCCCCCTTGAGCAAGACGACTCAGGAGATCGCTGAAAGAGTTATCCTTCCCTTTCGCATGGCGGTAGGTTAGATCAGCCTCATCGTACTCCAGCAGGTCTGCCAGCCACGAGAGCCACCGTTTAGTCTGTCGAGTAGTAGGCTGGTAGGTAGAGGAGTTGAGACGACCCTCGATCTTGCCCAGAGCACTAGTGGAGTCCATGAAAACCGTGACCCGTCCGACTCGGACGGTCCGAGACCAGGGTGTTTGTCCGAGGAGTAGAGCTTATGGAAGTTAAGGAAGGAGAGGATGAGTTGACGCCAATGAGACAGAGCGTGACATATGGCATATAACTCACGATCGGCGATGTCGTAGGCCTTCTCGTATGTGGACCACTTGTGGGTCCATACACCGATGAGTTGGCCATTATCAGCCAACCAGTCGGCTGATATTTTATCCGTGTTACACGCGAACTTGTCTCTCGACAGACGCCATAGACAGGCTGCACCGGCCTCAGGCGACGCGTCACTCATGAGGACGAGTTGCATTCCATCCCAGTTATCAAGCTGGGAATGAAAGGGCACGAATGCATCACCCATATTGTCGCCGATGGCCTTCCATGCCTTCTCGAGGTCCGCCGTCCAATGTAGACTCGCAGTCTTTTTGGACTTGGCCGCGACCATCGAGCCGACTAAAGAGGTGAACGGTACCGTGAGATGGCTGAGAGTCTTGTCGGCACGATTGCGTTCAGGTCTCCATAGGGAGCGACAGAATTGTAGGAGTCCGAGTTTCGTACGAAGACCTCTGAGAGTGAGTGGTTTGGACTCCAGATTCGTACGGAGTGTTTCCAGGGTAGAGTCGGATACCCTATAGCCTCCTTGAACTAGAGTCAGCCCTAAGTAGTCGATCTTTCGAGCTGGGCCTTTGCGCTTGGCTATTGGTGCCTTGGCATTAACCCTCTCCAGGATATATACTAAGAGGCTCTTCAGGTGAACACATTCGTCCATGAACCGTGACCACGCCAAGATGTCGTCGACAAAGGTCAAGATGTGGGTTGGCCCGTCCGTGCAGTACGCTTCGGGAATAGCTGTCGAGAGGAGAGAGTGGATCGAGTAGGCCCAATAAAAGGATGACAGCTTGAATCCCATAGTCATATAGCGAAACAACGCGTATTGAACCTCGCCGTCTGAATCATAGTACGAGAATCCAAACAGGTGCACACAGCTTTCGTCGTATTCTAGGTTGAAGAAGGCTTGGCCAACATCAATGCCTGCGTACCATACGTCACTAGAGGGTAGCTCAGACAAGCACTCATCTACGGAGCGCATGTAGGTCCCCCAGCTAGGTAGCAGGTCCATGACGGACTCATTGATACACCTTTCATCAACGACGAGACGATAAGCACGATCTACATTATCCTCAGTCAAGGGCTCGGCAACGTCGTCTGCGGCCGCTTTCGGTACCGCAACGCAGGAGAGATCCAGACTTGACGATGATCGACCGCCGCGCGTGATAG